TCTGTAGATTATGCCTGGTTATGTTGTCTCTAAAAGAAAAGTAATCAAGCAAGTTCGGTATCGTGCCACAATTTGTGCAAATACAATTTTATGTGGATTTCAAAGTCAAAACAGTACTTCCGCGGGAAATGATGCATCCGTCGTTCTTCGTCTTCCTGAAGCTATGAACTACCGATCTCGGCTACAGGACTTTTGGGTCCACAAAATATCACGCTCAGTATAAAATTCGCCTTTTCTTCCAAAAGTACTGGAAATTATTTATTTTTCAAACAGGTCGGGTGGTGATGCGTGTTTGAGAGTAGGACCGTTGATTGGGCACTGGTTTGCGCCAAGAGTGTAGTGCTTCCATTCATGCTGCCCGCGACGAGAGTTGAAATTTGAATAGAGTAGAAATAAAATCAACTGACACCCTTAGAATTATTTTAAACTTGCGCTTTCTTCAGGAATTAAGATTTTGATCGTACCTTTTAATCATTATCGTCTTCGATGACGGAACAACTTGCCGAGGAGGCCGCGCTGTCCGCGTACGCGGCTTGACAGATAAGGTCGCGAATGCTTTTCACGAATCTTTAAAGACCAAGCATAAAAATGAAAGACGCAGCCACTTTACGCCAATGAAACCAACTTTATGTTTTGGGCAGACGTCTTGCGAGAGTTTCAGTATTTTAATTATGCCTAATAAATTAAATGTTTAGGACTAAGTACCAAACTTTTTTAGATGTATTAAGAACTAAAATATCAAATGGGAAGTTCTAGAGCTGCTTGAGAAACACCCGATTAGCTGTTTGCAACGTGATAAGGCTCGCGTGGCTTCCTTCTGACTAGTAATAAAGCTTATGAAACATGACAAAATACCCCGTGATAAAGCACCCGCCCCATCATAAACTTAATTTGGAAGGTCCCGGGATTTGTTTTTATAGACAGGAAAAAAAGAAGAGATGCATGCAAGACGCGTGCCCCACGCTTTATTTATATCAGAAAAGAACTGCCCTCTGTTTTATATACAACGTTTATTGTTTGTTTTTTTCACCTATTAGATATTAGAAAAAACGTGGAAATTAACGTTTTGTGGATGCAGGCGAAGATTGGGTTCAAGAAAGAACGCAACAAAAACCGACTGATTACCTAACATTTGTTAATGAACTTTTTGATTATAAAAGAAAACGGAATAGTTGATTTATAAAGTTGCTGGGCGTAATCGAAAGCCACCAAATTGTCCAGTGAAAATTAGCGCCATTGCGGTTTGTGTAGGTGAGCTATACGGCCAGGCGAGGATTAGGTTCAATAACCAACGCAACTAAAACCGACCGATTGCCTAAAATTCGCTAATCAACCATTTAATTAGAAAAGAAAATAGCATCTTGTATTTAGAAAGTTGTTGGCCATAACCGCAAGCCACCAAACCGTCCATTCTTAAAATGATGTAACGCGCGTACATTATTATACGGCGTCCTCCTAATTTGGGCGCGCAAATATAGTTCTGATTTTATGTGGGCTCCATCTCCGCGTGGTACAGGCTAACGCCATCAAGCCAAAACGACAAATCATGCGCATCGCTGTGACAACAACGCCACTGCAGAAGGGGCGAGGAGTGCGGTGGCCGAAAAGATTGCGGTAACACGATTCGCGTCCAAATTAGGCTTTTTAGGACGCCGTGAGCCACTTCACGTCCACTACATCTCTTTAAAAATAAATGATTTGGTGTTTTTGATGAGTACAGATAAGGCACAAACCGCAATTGCGTAACCCTGACGTATTTTTTAGAAAAATATCTAGTCGTTAAAAAAAATCGCCCTGTATAAGCACGATTGTAAGGCAGTTCTTTACGTCCGGCGACATCATTACGGCATGGAAGGAGACGTTGACCACAGATCCTACTCTGTGTATGATCTGTGGTCGCTGTTTTTTTTGTTTTTTTTTCGTACCAGATGAGCAAACATTTGATTCCAAATAAAATAGATTGAGCATTCACCAAATTCGGCTTGTTTACTTGATTCAAATCGATATTTGATTTGATGACACTTATTTTGTACCCGCACACGCCTACTTTATTCCCTAATGAGTTACAAGTGACAATTACATTGTTTTATTTTTTTTTATGTCGTGCGAGGTCATCACAATTTATTATTAACAATCGGAGCTCTGCGATTACGCGGAGGAGGCGCATTTGAAGATATTCAAAATTGTTCTGAATACACAAACAACTTCTAACGACTTGCTGTTTGGGTCGTTTCCTACACGCAGGACCAATAATAAAGCCAAAACCTTATAGAGGAGACAATCTATCAACTCAACGCACAAACACGATGTGAAGCGTGTCTGCGTACGTTGGAAAAGAGATACCGGCGAGCAAACCATAGCGTCGAATGTCCATGCATCAAAATGTCCGTGCACCGAAATATCCGCGCACCGAAAAGTCTTTGCAGCAAAAAGTCCGTACACTGAAAGGTCTGTGCATCAAAAAGTCCGCACCGAAATGCCCTACAGCAAAACGCTCTACACCGAAAAGTACTAGACACACTACGGATGGGATCCTCCGTCACCTCTGCCGGTTTACGAACATGATGATTCAGAAACACTGGTCTATAGAGCGCCATCCCTGATATACAGAAAACGCCGCTCGTACTTCCCGTTGTCGCCATGAATCCGCCTAAACAACGAAAGATGCCAAATCAGATATTTATATTAAAATTGATACTTCAATGACTACTTCTTTGAGCAGAACAAGGCATTTGTGCTCTCACAACAGCAAAGGATCGTCTTCCAAACCAATGCTAAAAAAGAGCCAATGCAACTCGTTGGGAAGAGCAAGTGCCAAGCCCGCTCAAAACAGCTACTCGGTTGGTTCAGCTCATTGTCGCAGGTGTGTCGGCTGGCTTCTGGATAATCTTTTCAAATCCTTCAAGCTTTCATTTCCTCCACCCCAAACTTGTAAAAAAACAAAACAAAAAAAAAAATTGAAAAATGGCAAGGAGGAAACGAGAGGCGATTTCCTCCTTTCACAGTGGCGAGAAGGAAAGTGAGGGTCGGGTTCCTTCTCTCTGCTTGCGGGCCGGCCTTTAAGACATTTTTATTTTTTCATACGCACTACTTCAGTACCTTTCCCAGCGCTGCACGCTATGCATGAAACGGAGTATAGTTAAGCAAAATTTCGCCGAAGAAATTCTTTCTTTTTCAGTATTAATTGTAAAAATATAGTAAAAAATGTAAATATCGTTAAATGCTTCGACAAAACAAAATATTTCAGGAAAAAAGAAAAAAAAAAAGTTTGCCCATACTGGACATCGAATCGGGTCCGTTGTGTATGAGGCAGACGCTTCTTTTTTTTCTTTTCTTTATTGTATTGTATACTACGCTATTTTTTTTATTGCATGGAAGCGTAGACGGTGGGCACATGGTTCACAGTTGCAGTTTTGAAACGAGACTGCACCGCGATTATACAAGCTTACTCTATTGAGATACATTGGCACCAACAACATATTCGAAAATCTCGTTTTGACAGTTGTTTTCATACGAGAACCAAAAAGTTTCGCGACGCGCGTATAGCCATCGCCGGTTGAGGAGAACGACGTAGTGCGTGATCTTCACTCAATGGAAAAATATATTTACCAAGACCGGCATAACTGTACAGAAATACGTAATGAGCGAGGGTAGTACATACCTGAATAAGCACCTCGCTGACGTCGCACTCCGGGAACTTGGCCGCGATGGACTCCCGCAGCGTTGTTTCACACCACCCTTCCTCGACTTGAACGACCCGCCGACTCTCGCTATAATTAACAACGACTCGCATGATAGAGCTTGCGAAAAAAAACCAACGTCCGAACAAAAATCAACGTCCCAACCGTCCGAGCCGTGATCCTTCTTACCCCGGGGAAGCCAACCCTAAAACGGTAATCCGCGCCAAAACAATAGCTGCGTTCGATTTACCTACACCTCCCGAGTCCTGCACCGGTGCAGAAAAGTGCAGGGCGGTGTTACTTCCAGTCGTATCTGAATCACGTGATCTGAATACACATACAGAAAGTACACTGCCCTACACTTTTCTGTACCGGTGCATGGTTAACGAGTTGCAAGCGTACAAGTAAATCGAACGCAGCAAATGGTTGACCAATCGGGTTTCGCAAGATTTTAGTAAACAAGTCTAATGTAGCGCAGAGCAGCGACAACGTACAACAAGTCCACCATGAAGATGCATGGCAAGGAGTCAAGGCAGTGACTTCATTGGCTTAGACCGCTTAGACGGTCGCAAGGGTCGCAAGAGCAGAGACAAGCGCGAAGCAGCGGCGCTTCTTCACCAGGTAGCGCAAGCAGACGTCGCGTTTTTAAACTGCCGAAATAAAAACAATTCCATTGCGTCCTATCTGGCGTATCATTGCCGGTAAAGAAAAACATTAAGGAAAAAAAAAAAGCGGAGGCATGCGGTTTAGAGAGGCTCGTTTTAGCTAAATGTGACAACATGTTACCCAACCAGCATTTCTTAAAGCGTCATTATCACAGGTGTACTAGCTGTACAAGGCCGTAGGGATGTCACATCTCCAGTTTTGAAAGTTTTCTTATGCATACTAACAATGAGCCTATCCCATTGCCCACTCTGTGCATACTTTAATGTAAAATTCATAAATGTTGTGGGTCACATTGGCCGTGTACATGCTTGTGAAGGGAACTTTGAAGTGACGTGCAACAAGGACAGCTGTGCAAAAACATTCTCTAGCTTTGAAGCTTACAGAAAGTATCTCTACCGGAACCACAACATTGCCTTTTCAAGCGACAGCTCCACTGATTCCACACAGACGAGTTTCGATGACCGCCCCCGGTCCTGCGGAAATGGTGATACTTCTGCTGGGATAAGTGTGGAGGCACTGTTGGACCCAGATGCTGACCAATCGGCTGGCACAGATGGAAGTTTTATAACAAACCACTGCAGAGCTCCGAGCACGGAAGAAAAAAAATTGTTCATTGAGGAAATGAAAAAGAGTTTCCTTCTCCTTTACTTGAAGATGACAGAGGGCTTCAAACTGGCCCACAGCACAGCTGAAGAAATCCTCAGCTTAATGAAAGTGCTATTCTCGGCATCACTTCAGTTGATTGGAACAGAGCTCGAAGAAGAACTTCAGCGGCTTGACATTGACAAGTCAGCTTCAACTGTGTTGGATATGCTTCTTCATCCAGATAGTCTCTTCGACTGCATATTTGCAGGCATACACACACAGCACCAACGAGAGAACTACGTCAAGGCACACCTTCCCTACACAGAAGTCAAGGAAGTAGAACTGCAGAAACCAGGAAAGGAAAAAAAGTCTCTTTGTTACATTCCAGTGCAGCAATTGCTCCAGAATCTCCTCACTGTTACAAACACCTACGACAGTGTTGTTGGGGGGCCTGATGAGAGAAGAGACAACATGCTCACCGACTTTTGTGACGCTCACTACCTCCAGGAGCAACAGCAGCAACTGCTCAAGGATGGCCACGAGAACACCATCTTCCTCCCGCTCTACACTGACGAGCTGGAGCTCACCAATCCCTTGGGAGCAGCCGTGGGGAAACACAAGATTCTCGTGGTCTACTTCAGCATCTTGAACCTCCATGCCCGACACCGTTCGAAACTTAGCACAATACACCTGCTCTTGATTGTGCCATATGCCAACGTTGTTACCTCTGGGCTAACGGTTGTGTTGGCTCCTTTGATTGAAGACCTCAATTTTCTCAAATATCATGGCCTGCAGGTAGGAGCCAAGAACTTCGGTGTTTCTGTGGTCGCCATAGTCGGTGACAACCTGTCAATGCACCGTCTGATGGGCTTGTCATGCTCGTTTAGCAGTGGTCGTATAAGCCGCTTCTGCTTAGCTCGCTACGAGAACTTAAACAAACTGACTTCTGTCACACAGTGTTTCAGAAGAACAGCCCTTTCACACGCCAGCCACCAAGCTGCATTTCTGGTGGATCCCGCACTTGGTGCTCTTTACGGCATTACTTGTCGTTCCCCACTCGCTACCCTTGAAGGGTTTGACGTCGCGCGACAGCTCCCTCCGGATGCTATGCACGATATACTTGAGGGAGGAATTGCTCATGTTTTAAAGGCAGTACTCTCAGGACTCGTGGAATCTGGAACTGTCAAGAAAGAAGACTTAAGTCGGGTTGCAGACTTTCCATATGGGATACACGACAGAAAGTCTAAGCCAGTTCCTATATCAGACAGGATCCTGACCCGATCAGGCACGCTGAAGAGTACAGCCTCCCAGAAATGGTGTTTGTTCCGGCTCTTCCCTCAACTTTTTGGAGATTTGGTTAGAGAGGGTGACAAGCATTGGCAGGTATACCTCATATATTGCGAAATTGTGGACATCATCCTCGCAGAGCAGATACCAACTGACTGCATTGATTATCTGCAAGTTCAGATCACAGAGTTTCTGAGACTGTTTACAGAGCAGTACCCACAGAAGCACTTAAAAACAAAGCTCCACTATTTGCTCCACTATCCCGAATTCATCTACTTATTTGGACCACCTCGGAGGTACTGGGCAATGAGGTTCGAAGCGAAACACTCTTACTTCAAAGGTGTTGCATCAAAAGTTAAGAACTTTAAAAACATTGCCCAGACTCTTGCGCACAGGCACCAACTTCTCCAAGCTTACGAGCTCGGATCAAACCTGACGAACCAAGGAGTTCGAGCAACGGGGGTGGAACTCGTCGAAATCGCATCACTGCCAGATCTTCAAGCCATTCTTCCGCAGGAGCTACAGGGTGAACAATCTCTGAGTTCGGTGAAAACGGCAATTTTCAACAGCTGCAGCTACAGAGTTGACGACATATTTGTAATCACAGTCAACGATAAGGGTCCAGTGTTTGGAAAAGTCCACGCACTGTTTGTTGCAAGTGGTTCGCTAGTTCCACTTGCAGAGAAGCTGGAAACGGTAGAACTGTCACGGCACAGGTGCTCATACCTAGTTGTGCCTTCCAACAACAAGCTCTGCATGATACCAAGTTTTCAGTTTCAGTACTATCCTCTTGACTGCTACACACATAAAAGCTACCTTGAAGTTGTTCCCCATTTCGCTATATTTGCGTAGTGGCATGCTTTCCTTTGTAATGTCTTGGCATGTCTCACCTTTTGCCAAATTAACCCGATTTAACTATCAGTATGGCTTTTGTAATGCTATGCAACTTCGGAAATCTGGTCAGAGTTTGGATCTATGCAAGACAGAAATCAGATGCTCTAAAGTAAGGACATTTTCAGGAGACTGGGCGTGAATGTGACATCAAGAACTCAATGAATGGCGTCACTGGATGTACACTGCAGTACCAAGTTGACTTTTAAGAGATAGGTTATAACTTCAAGTCTTCAAGTTGCACTGCCAGGTGCAAGTTTCCTTTGTTTTGGGCAAATAAAATGTCTGACAAAAAGGCACACCCAATATTTCTTTTTTCAATCCATCAATGTAAAGGCCATGTAGAACGCTGTTCGACGAAGTAAAACGTTCATATATAAGCAATGCAGCACAGGAAAAATTCTTGTGTCCACCAACGACCTTCATGAGCCGACTCGAGCATACTTGCCAAGTCTCAAATTTTCATTCAACTTTATAAATTCTCGTTTTATAATTCAATAAATTATGGCTTGAGTTTCATGAAGTGGATATGACTTGTCAAAAGTTTGAAACATACAGAAAAACCAAAACTGACTCGTTTTGAATCTACCCCGTGTCCCAAATAGCGGCCAGGCTCTTTAAATCGACCGCGAAAATCTGTTTCTTAACCTATCACATTCCGAATTTGTACAGCGTTGGCCACAGGTGGTGCATTTTTTCTATAAAATTTTCAAAAGAGCGAACTTACCCGAGGAAAAAGTAAAAAAAGAAAGAGACTGAACTCCTTAGAAACGCAGCAAAGCCACCGGTCCTCAAACCATAGGGCGCCACACGGTTTAAAGATTGGTGGCTTGACTGCGTTTCCATCGGAGTTAAGCCTATTTCCTTCTTTACTTTTTCCTCAGGTAAGTTCGCTCTTTTGTGGATTTTATATAAAAAATGCACCACCTGTGGCCAACGCTGTACAAGGTCGGAACGTGATAGGTTAAGAAACCGATTTTTGCGGTCGATTTGAAGAGCCTGGCTGCTTTTTGGGACGCGCGGTGTGCCAGTGCTTAGTTGTGGTGCGGTGGCATTAATATTGAAGAGTGTACGTCTTCCACGAAACAAAACATTAAATAAGATGAATAGCAAAGCATACAAAAAAAAGTATCCTAAGGAAACAAACAAAAATGGAAAATTAGCAATACAATTCATTGACAAAAAACGTAACAGACAAAACACACAAATCACAAGTAGACAATATTTAATGTCACTCTTGTCATTCACGTCCCTCTGATTCGGCTACAGCGGCATTCAGTTTCTTGTCGACGTTAATAGCTCGCCTTTGTTTTCGCTCAATTCTAGTGATTTTAAGCATAACACATTTAGTTCATATCTAGGAGTGGCTAGCCACACTGAAAAGGCAAGGTTAAAGGTAGGTTGTCATGCTGCAGGTTGTCGCTTTCACCCTCAATCATGACGTGCTTCGTCTGGTGTAGCGGTACTTCTGCCGTGTTCATTTCACACCGCAGAAGTGGTGGTATCGAACTAGCAGTAGGCAGGAATCACTGCTAACGACTATTCCTGCACACAACGGGGTAGGGCCTTCTGGACGCATAAAACAAGTAAACTTGCTGACCAGCAACACTAATGTAAAGTTGCGAGCTCGGTGTACGTGAATGTATTAATTGTTACAGCGTGTTGACTCATACATAAGCAAGACCTCCGAGCTTCGCAGCGTCGAGATTCTCAGCTCTGGCTTGTCCACGTATCTCGAAAAGCTAGCAGGAAGGCTCGAGTACGAAAATAAACAAGCATGTGTCAGGAAAAGCTTTACGTATGGTTCGGGCTTGTGCTGAAGCTTCGAGGTCTGGCAATTTAGGTTAGTTTAGAGACCCGAAACAGTGCTGTCGGGACCAGGAAACATGAGATAACGGCTGTTTATAATCCACGTTCTGTGTATGATCTCTTCTCGACGTGTCGATCGAAACCGAAACCATATGCCGCTCTTCCCCTGGCCAACTAGTTCCCAGAGTGCAACGCGCGCAGTGTTACTTACAGGTATTTATGGAAGTAGTCTATTGTGAGCTGAAAAGGTCCAGCTAGTGGCACCCTCTTAGTGTGAAAGGGGGCGTGCGTGTTCTTGAAAGGAAGTAAAAGAGTTCTTCAAGAGCAGCCGTCGGTGTCGGATGTCTCTAAAGGTCTTTTCACACTATGCATCTTGTTTGCGAAACTTGTGTCGCGAAACTAGGTTTCGGGAAACAGATTCCTAGTCTGAACGCAACCGAAAAAGTGGCGCGCCTTTGAAAAAAGTGGCACGTGTTCCTTGTTTTGGAGCAATTTTTCGCTGAAACCTCACCGAGGCCCGTCAATTACCTGAAGAAGAAACGCGGACGCTGCCAATGGCCGCTCGACTTCGCTATGACGTCCGACCTTGGAGGAGGAGCGAGTTTTTGGAGGAGTCTGATATTTTGCCGATTCCGTATCCGGGCCAAAGCCGAAAAAAGAAAAGCAAACATGGCGAGCAACAAGCGGAGAAGCGGTGCGCACGGGCGATGAGTCTTGGTCCTACTTGGTTGCAAGCGTGTGAACAACGCTTTAGCAGTACGGGTTGGTGCTGTGGTGCAGATTTATCAACAGTTGCGACGAGTGCAAGCACCGCATATAAACATGATGGCTGGGGATAGCTTTCTTTTAGCGATGCGAAAATGTCTGAAATAATTCGAGATCATCCGCCTGTTCTTTGACGTTCGCGGTCTTTCCCGGGTTTGGCAGGACTAGTAAACCCAGTGAGCCGAATCTGACAAAGTCTATTGAGCGGTATTAATAAAACAGACTGTCTCTTCACACTGTGCATACTTCAGATCATTTTGATACAAAACACTTCATATTCATGGTGCAGATGACAAGGTTTGGCGAAATTCTCGTGAGTCAATATGCCACAGGTTTCACGCGTCAAACTCCACGTGTGAGCAGGCCGATTTCGCTAAACTGTGGCGAATTGAACAGATGCATCGTGTGAATAAGCCTTTACTCAGCTCAGCCTCATGGGGTTTGAGAGGTATGCTCTGAATCCTACACAAGCCGGCTGTAAACACCCTAAAAACAAGTACAGCTTTCTCAGAGGAATGTAAGAACACCACTGCCCCCCAATGCTGCTGTGACACGTGACGGGCAATGACCTGCAGTAGAATGTCCACCAACTGCTTCCCTCCGCCACAGGAGCAATTTTTGGGCCACTTTATGCCTTTCTCAAGTCCACATCGAAGTTTATCCTGTTAAAAATGTACATTGCACCTTCTATGACACTGTAAATATGCGGTTTTACCCTTTATGATACTCCATACGTGGAAATGCATGCAACTAGGTAATCAAGTAATTAGTTTACTAGCAGGTAAATGGTACAAGATTTCTAAAAACTCCCAGCCCTAATTATGACATTTTGGTAGAGTATAAAAAGGAGTATCAGAGTTGAAAGCTCAGGAACAAACAGCGTCTGCCTTTCTCCCAGCTATATTCACCGCCTCAACACACACATCAAAACCTTGCCAGGAAGATGAGGTGTTGCTTTTAACAGGACAAATTTAATTTTTGCCTATCCACACAGCCAGATTTTTGTTCAATTCAATAGTTGACCGTTTCTTTTTTTTTTTTTTGCCAAGTTCTATGAAAAATGCGAGGTGTTTAAGCAAAGAAAAGGAAAAAAAATCAGTCAAGGGTTTGATTTTTGTTTTTCTTAGGTGCCGAGAACTCTCGAAACGGCACAGCATATCGTAAAAGTATTGTCAAGTGTCTCGAGTTAGGTAGCACCGCTTTGACCAGCAACGACGCTGGTCAAAGCAAGCTGGACCAGGTTTGTTTTGGCGTACTAAAACAAATGTTTTTTGTAGCACTTTTTCATATGCTAGCATGGTTGAAGACTTCACGAGCTACAGGTTGCGAAGATAAGTCGAGAGACACTGTCCCAAGACGACCGTACAAGACAAACAAAAACCAAGAGGATCCAGACTGCCAGCAAGGACTTGAAAGAGAGCTCCGGTTAGCCTCAGAGCGGCAGCCGACTCCCGAGGCTTATTGGAAGCTCTTTTTCAGGTAACTAAAAATATATAGCTCGCATGCGCATTTTGCGAAGTAAGTTTCTGCGGTCTGAAACGAATGCGGCAGAAGTACAGCCACCATAGACGAAGCGCATCATGATCGACGATGAAAGCGTCGACCTCCGGCAACAGAACCAACCTTTAGGCTTACCTTTATTAATTTAGTGCGTCTATACTTCGTTTCACCTTATGTGGGAGCGAAGGCAAAGCTGGAAGCGCGAGCACGAAAGCTCCGTGCCTTCAGGCTTTGCTCGAGCGCGCGAGCTGGGGAGAAACGCAAAAAGCGCTGGTCTCGCGCTTCTAGCTTTGGCTTCGCTCGCAGACAAGGTGAAACGAAGTATAGCCTGCCTCGTTGGGCTAGCCACTCCTGGATTTGAACTAAATGCGTCACCATGATTTGTACCACTGCACGAAGTAGCAGCGTTCCACGTCCCACCGCCGGCGAAATCCAATTGAGAACGGCGCAAGTGCCGAAGGGGTAACTTTACCTCCTAAAAACGAATTTCAAATAGGGGGCGCTAGTATCTGTCTCCCTCGAGGAGGTAAAAAGCAAGGCACTTACTTCCCCACCAGATTGAGGGTGTAAAAGTTGCTTGTTCCACCGTTTTGGTAACCTTTTGGGAACCTTTTTTTTAAGAGTGTAGTTCCCGCGAAACTCCTTTTTCCTGACTAAAACTGAAAGTAAATATGAATAATACACCATTATTATAGCTTATTTAGTTATAATCAACTACACATAATGAGAGAAGGAAGCGGCCGGGTATGAGAAACGTGGGTTTTATGTGCGACCGTTCTAACCGTCTCAAAAGGGAGAACGCGCGAGCTTGCGCTGGTTTAAAAAAAGGCATCCAAATAAAAGAGGCGGCACGCTGTGCTCTTCGTTATTATGCGTCTAATTGCAAATTGGTGTGTGTATGCTTATACAGCCAGAAGTTAGTCTGCCTTAGTGGGCGTCTGGTGTCTCAGCTGTAGATGAGCAATTTATCCAGTGCGGTACAACCGCAAACCTGGGGTCTTTAACGTGCACCACGCAGTAGTGATACACGACTGCACGCCGGTACGATGCTCTTCCAGATCGAAACGGGCAGGGGCGGGGTGGCTTCTGCAGCGCGAGCTTTCGCTCCAAGTGCTTCGAGCTGGCGTGCGCTAGACCATGCACTCGGCCACCGACTCCCCCCCCCCCCCCCCCCCTTTGTGCGTCTAATTTATATACAGGTATACGTATTTCAAGATCAGCGATGGACGTCTATCCTCTCGAGTCAATGTAACGTAATAACATTATATAAATCATAAACTTGTTGAAGGACTCAACGACTCAATTTTTCGATTCTTGGATTGTAATATGGCGGTAGCCTATTGTACTTACTGTTGATGAAGAGCAATATGAGGTGACGAGGTAATGATTAAATGATGAGGCTCTATAAGGACGACGACATTAGTGGGTGTCGAACCACAACGCACAGTGCCAGACTTGTTTCAAGTATCGTGTACCCAAAAAATTTCTTCACCCGCAACAGAATATGGTAGAATCAATGAGGATGCTGCTTTACAACTGTACGTGGAACAGGAAAACTGCACTGTGCAGAAGAGCGACTTATTCGTTAATAGGAGGGACAGATTTCTAGCAGCATTCCCTAATTGACTACTTGGAACAAATGGCCTCGTTGACGTAAAGTGTCCCCGTTCCAAAAGATTCTTGAAGCATACTTAAACCGCAAAGGAGTATGAGGCGAAAAATAAGAAAAAAGAGCCTGGTGTGAAAGGTCCAAATCACCACCATAGCTTCTACTATCAAATACAAGGGCAGCTACACAATACACAAAGAGAGTTTTGTGATTTAGTTATATTTACACTCAAGGGCATTGATATTCAACGTATTCAGAGAGATGACACCTTCTGGGTCGCTAAACTCGTCAAGCACAACTTTGTGTCCGAAAGTTGCGGAACGCGCTAATTCGACTCTCGCGACGCTGACGTCGCGCCGAGCGAGGTGTCAATCATTCTAAGCAAAGTTCATCGAGGCGCGCGTGCGGCGCGTGAGGGGCGCGAGGAGCCCGCTGATTGAACGGCTTCGCCGATGACGTAGCGCCCATTTGTCCCTACATCCCTACGCCAAGCTAAAATTAATGCTTTGCAGATTGTCCCTAGGCGCGAAGCTCACGCTCCAAATCCCTCCGAAGTTTGTGCAAAAAAGAAACCTCGTTTGTCGAAGTTGTCGCTGACGTCAAAGTGACGTTTCCGAACTTTGCGAGAGCCGTGGTTTGAGCTCGAGATCTTCGCTTCGGATCGAGGCGAAGTTAAACTTTGTCAACATGGCGGTGCCGTACGCTGCGGCCGAGCTTATCTTCCGCCACCGTCGGGGTCGCTACTGAGACCACTGGGGACGCCTTTCAACTCCCCGACGACGACTTTCGGCAACAGTACCGGCTATCGAAAGCCGTTGTGCGTTGACTCTGCGACGAGCTTCGTTCGCCGCCTCGGACCGTGGAACAACAAGTTCTCTGCGCGCTCCTGTTCTTCGGAACCGGTAGCTTTCAAGGCATGGTGGCGACTGACGAGCACCTGTCAGTCTCCCCCATGACTGTGAACCGGGCTGTCAGAGTTTTTGACTCTGCCATCGCTTTCTTTATTTTATTTTTTCTGTAATATCCGAAGAGGTACTAATAAGCTGGTATACAATTCAGAATGTTGGAAAACAAACAAGAACCGGGGTAATTCTTGGGTAGGGTCGAGTCTCCCGGCAGCCGGCAGAATTATTTCCCCGAAATTCTACTGGCAGTCGTCACTCATTGGCGGTCAAATCAGTTCATCGAACGACGTGTCATCGACAGATGGCTTCATCGGCACGCGATGTAATCACATGAAAGAGATTGTCTTCCGTTAGAGGTATATACACATTAAGCATTATGGCTATTACTTGAAATGCAAGTAATACGAGGATTCAAATACTGGGTGTAGTCAAGGCTAAAGAGGCCATGAAACATCATGAAAATGTACTTGCGTCTAGCATTCCTCGCCGGTTGGAAAGTGGTGAAAGGTCCTGTTGTTTTAACGTGCCAGTAACAGAGTCTGTATCCAGAGAGTATATACCGGGTTGCAAGTCTTTGTACAATCTCCAGTTTCCGAATTTGATTTTTTTATAATTTCTCCCACTCGAGCGGTTCCTTCTGCCTCCTCCCGGGACCTCTCGCCGTCCTTTCCGACCGATCCGTGACCGTCCCTGCGCAGGACTGATGGTGTCGGGCTTTGCGACGGCGGCCAAAGTGCTGGGCGACCGACGCTACGCCGAGCGCGCTCTCCAGGCCGTGGCTTTCCTCGGTCAGCACCTGTACGACGAGGACCGCAAGTCGCTGCTCCGGAGCGCCTACAGGGGAGAGGGCGGCCACGTGACGCAGACGTGAGTCGTCGCTCCCGGTCTTTGGAGCGGAGGGTGCCCCGGCCCGCAAATGTCCGGGCAAGCTCGTACAAAACGTCGTCA